ACATAATTTTTGTGGCCGTAATAAAGGCGACGACTCGTCGCCGAAGACCAGGCTATGCTCGACAGGACGACCAGATGCTAGTCATAGGACCGGACAAACACTCGTTACCGTCGGGCCACTGCTCGCGAGCCACATATGTGGCCCTCTTCTGCGCCAATCACTCCTTTATGTCGTTAATCATATGGATGTGGTGTCTGTGTGTCTGCATATCGCGTGTACTTCTTGGCCGACACCATGTGTTTGATGTGATCGCCGGCGTGTTTGTCGGGTATCTGTTATATTGTATTCAATATATCATTTTGACACCAATTGATACACTCCTCTTGTGGACAGTCAGTGCCTTATTTAATGTCGGCTTCACTGATACCAATGATTTTGATTAATCCTTTCATTGAATTGTCCTTTCATTTCAGTTAAACCTTTAATTGTGTTTCTCTTTTAAATACTAATTGAGATTTTATTTCACTTAATATATAATTATAATATAAATTGTGATGTTATTAATGTTGATATGGTTTTAGGGTAAGAATGTAACGGAAAGTTCAATATAATAGTGATATTCCTATTGTAATACATTATTAAATAAAATTATAATTGATTATAACTTATAATTTAATCGTTTGTCAATATTTTTAATAAAACATTGATTTTAACAAATTGTCTAATAATGAATTGATTGAAATACAAATGATGATCATTTAACTAAAACTCAATACATCAGGTAATGTGGTTTCGAGTGTACATTTTGATTAAAATGATTATGTATTGTATGTATTAAAACAAACTTTGCTATATATGTTAGAGCCTATAAGAGCTCATTTCATAAATACCGCACGATTGTTGGTAGACTGCACGGGTTGATCTGCAGTTTTTCCCTCAATACACCGTTTATTGGGGAATGCAATGACATACACTATAACCTCAGTACACATGCCGTTTTATAATTAAAACTTTGAAATGTAAAAAAGTGTTTTTTATACAGTTGGATACAGTTAATACTAGTAACAAAATGTAAACAAAATAAAAGGATAAAGTTCAATGTTAATGGGTGAAATGCCGAAAAGGACTATGACCATTCGTGTGATAAAATGCACTTGGGAATTGTTGTTATAAAATGAAAGGACATTCAATAAGTAGTCGAGTGATATATTTCATATGTCCAGATGCTTTCGAGTCTGGCCGTAATAACCACTTTTATCGGTAAAATTTT